GAGGTTATAGAAATAAAGTTGCCAATACTTATGTATAGAAAGTCCAACAAAAAAGGAAATTCATTGTATGTAGAGCAAATGAACATGTTTATTTAAATTTTAATTTCGCATAAAGAAAAGTATTAGTTTGATTATACTCACTTAAAATGTACCACTTATGTGTACAGAAACATTGTAAGCAAAATAACTATTAAATAACAAATTTTGAAATGGTATTTTCATACTCTGACAGGACTTTAGTACTTTATTAAATAGCCTATGTCTTCAAAAACTCATCCAAATTGATAAGTGGGAACTAAAACTTACCTAGAGAAGTAGAAAGAATGGGAAGAACTCACAGACATTGAGATACATTGATTACTAAGAGTCTGAAACATGTCTAGCATCGCTAATGACCAAAGAAATGCAAATAAGAATAAAAGTATTTTTTCCTCCTCTTCTTTCTTCCTCCTCCTTCTTCTTTTTGTCTATCAAAAAGATAAAGGCAAAAAAACCTCAACTCAACTTAATTTTACTCATTGCTGCTAAGAATACTGAGATTAGCCCTTTTATTTACTGCTGATAGAAGTCAGTAGTCAAAGATTTCTTAGAAAGTAGTTTGAAAATATGCAGCTGGAACTTTAAAACATGTATACATTTTGATGTGGTAATTATGCTTTTTCCTTTTTTTTTTTTTTGGAGAGGTTTTTGCTATAGGGTGCGTGCGCTCGCCAGAAAGACAGAGAGAAACAGAGAGACAGGGGGATGGTCATGCCGCAATCCCTTCTCCTCCATTCTCCTCTCAGGATCTTGGGCACGCACGCACATGTGCCCAGCGTGAGTTTAAGCCACCAGGTCCGAGACTCGAACTGTGGTCAGCTACATGGGAGTCCAACGACATAGCCATTATGCTAACTGCTGGTCCCTATGCTTTTTCCTTTTTAAAAATTTTCCAAGGGTGTATGTGCTTGCCAAAGGGAGAAAGAGAACACTCAAGAAAGCACTCCCCATGGGGCGCTGGGGCATGGTCATGCAATAATTCTTTCTCCTTTATTTCTTCCTACTTTTGTGATTTTGGGGGGGACATGCACATACATGCACTCAGCATGTTTTTCAAGCTGCCAGGCCTGAGACTTGAACTGCACTGTTGGCCAATGTGGGATCCAAGAGTCCTAACCACCAACCCCTTGCTGTCCTGGTAATTCCTTCTTAGACTCTAAGGAAGTAATTACAGATGCAGCAAAGGTTTCAGTATTAGGGTGTTCATCTGGTAGTGAATAATTGCAAAGAAACTTAAGACAATGTTTGAATAAATTATGGACTGTCCTTATGACAGGAAATAACAGTTCCTAAATTATGCATGCTGAAAAATTGTAAAGACGTTGGAAAATTTTCACAATATACCACCAAATGGAAAGAAGGCAGGAAATAAACTGTATAATGTTATCAATCCAGGTGGGAGGATGTATGCATATGAAAAGGACTAGGAGGAAATACAATAAAATGCTAGCAGTACTTCAACATATGGATTTGAGGTGGGGACAAAAACATTCAGCCCATAATACCAAGAAATTACATGTTAAATAGACTCAGAAAAGTACATCATCATGTTTACTCTGGAATCATATTATTGTATATACTGACCATTGGGCAACCTAGTAATTTTTTTAGAGATATTTTTGCTATAGGGCACATGTGCTCACCAGAGAGACAGAGAGAGACAGAAAGACAGAAAGCAAGAAATCACCCCCCAGGGGGAATGGCCATACCTTCTCTTCCATTCTTCTCTTGAGATGAGACATGAATGCACCAGGTGTGAGTTTCAAGCCTCCAGGTCCGGGACTCAAACCACAATCGGTCACGTGGGAGTCCTGTGGCATAACCATTATGTCATCTGCTGGTCCTTAGCCTAGAAATTTCTAAATTTACCAATTTTATTTAAAAACAAGGGTGACCAACGAGTCTGGAAGCATAGGTACTATAGAGAAGCTGAAGATGGCTATGCCCTAATACCCGGAACTCGTTATGTCTATTGCAAAAGGCAATTTGTAGAGGTGATTAAATGAAAGATTTTGGGATGGGAAGGTTATTTTAGATTCTCTTGATAGGTCTGATATATCACAAATGTCTTTATAGTAGTGAAACAAGAGGATCAAAATTAGAGAGAGGAGCTATGACAATAGAAAGTGTGAAAGTGCACTAAAGAGGGAATAAATTGACCAACGAAACAGGAATTTTCGAGCTTGTGGTGGATGCTTTGAAGATGAAAGAAAGGGACATGAGCAAAAGAATGCCAGCAGTTGCTAGGAGCTGGAAAAAAACACTAAACTAATCCTAGAGCCACCAGAGGGAACACAGCTCTGCCTACATCTTGATTTTAGCCTGGAAGACATGCTTTGGGTTTTTGATATGAAAGTTGTACGGTTGGACATTTGAATGTTGTTTGAAGTTCTGTAATTGAAATTCCAGGTATGACATGTTGTAACAAGTCACTTCTTTTCTCTAGGATGTGATGGGAAAATAAATTAAATAAAGTAAGAGCTTCCAGACGTCTAACTTCTCTACGTCTCATGATAAAAGGCAGTGATGAGTTTAATATAAATACCAGAGCTGGCTCTGTGGCACAGGGTAATTTACTGCTCAAGAGAATCTAGATCCTACTGGTTGAGACACTGTGGCCTGGTTAGCCTGTAACACAGCAGGTATGTGTGTGAGTGCCCAAGATGTGATGGGCTGGAGGACTGGAGGAAGGGGATCACAGCATGACCAGACCCTGTGGAGGTGCTCATCTCTCTGTCACTTTCATGTGCACGTGCATACACTCTAAAATAAATAAAGAAGAAAATAGAAATACCAAGTATTTTACTGGATACTTGACAAATCCTTACTTTAGCCCCAGCCATACACAAGTGAAATAATACGTATGGCACTAATGTTTCACTCTTTCAAGTTTGGACGTGAAATAGATTCTTTCTCATGAAACCTTCAATAGTCATTCCAATGTGTCATTCTTTTCCTTTTCTGATAATTGTTTAGTATTACAATTAACTGCATTTGTTTGAATGCTTAATCTGGTTGCTATATGTTCTCTCCCTCTTTAATTTCCAGAGAGGAAATACATTTTCCAGAGAGAGACAGAGGGAGAAAGAAGTATTTTCCCAAAAGGCCATGATACACTGCAACCCCTTCTCCTTCATTTCTCCATTCTCATGGAACTTTGGGCATGGGCATGTGCCCTATGTGTTTTCAAGCTGCCAGGGCCAGAATTCAAGCCCTGGTTGGCCATGTGGGATCTGGTTCCCTTATCCACTAGGCTATGGGGCTGGCCCATTATATGTCATTTTTCTAAGTTATATAAGCTCATTGAAGCTGGGAATGTAATTTTTCTCTTTTTTCCAACATTCTAACATGGGGAAAACATTTAATAAAAATAAACTACTTCTTGAAAATATTGACAGATTCCAGTTTACAACCCCATGTGTAAATAGATCTTACATATAACTATTTTGAGGATAGCATACAGATTTTAATTTGTAGCTAGGTAGGCTATTAGGTAATTATTAGTATCTTTAGTAGTTGCATGTATTAAAT